CCTTAACGTGGTGTAGGTGATGCTGCAAAATTCTGCATCAGTAGGGGACTCGAACCTGCATTTCACTTATCCTGAGGCGCGTGCTCTAACCGCTGCACTATCGATTCCTGTTTTTTGCGCCACTGTCCTTACGCACCCTGGCGGGTAGGGTAAAATGCGGCTTCGAGTCCCTACTGATGCAGAATTTTGCACATCACTCTACACCAGGTAGAGCGGTTCTCTGAACTGATTATTTTAATTGACTTCGACCATTTTCAATCAAAAGTAGCTATTTTAAGATTCAGCTGATATCAAGGGCGTTAGTGAAGAAGTTCATTCGTCTAACATTTTCACGCATTTCGCCTTCTTTGGATCGATGATTCGGAGATCGATCTTTCAACGGTCGTTTGTCCTCGTCGTGGTCTGCGTTCATTTCGATCGAGCCAAATCTAATAGCATTTTCAAGCCTTTCAGGGGGTGTTTCATGGACATTTCTAGTGCTAGGCCTCACGTTTCGGCTTTCTAATAAGCCTCTATAGCAAATGCCGTCCGATACAAGCGAACCTCTGCAACTAAGGGACGTCGGAGCCGAACGCGTTAATCTGCACGTCAAGTGAGATAATCACTTGCTGCCGCGATTTGAAGTCAATCGCTTGATGGCTGGTGTAAAACGAATATAGCAATGGCTTTCTGTCGGCTTTTATCAAGACCTCGCTCTAAGCTCTCATATCTGATAGCTAATACTCGAAATTACTGGTGTTTTCACTGCATTTTTTGCAGGATTAATGTTTCAGTACACCGAAGAGATTTGAGTGCTGAGCAAAAAATACGACCTCAGCCGGGAGTCGAACTCGCGTTCCATCCATACCGAGACCAGATCCATTTTTGCTCACCACTCAGTTCTCTTAGGTATATCTTGATAGCATATTTTGAGCTTTGCAAGAGCATCTGATATAGCATTTCTGGTGCTAGACGCTCGTATCGGCTCTCTAGCAAGCCTCGTCAGGCATGCCATTCGGTTCAAGCGAGCTCCTACAACTAAGGCTAGCGGCTCCGAACATATATGACTACACGAAGCCACTAGAAGTACCATACCAGACCTCTAAATTGCTTGAGGAAATCTATCAGATTTTATTGAATTTTACTCCCTTAAGGAAACGACGTGTACCAGCTGAGGTAAACGATTGTTTGATGACGTTTCTCTCTGACAAAACTTTTCTCTTAGACCTCGGTAATCATTCGGAAGCTTAAGTCTGCGATCTTTACACTGTGTTTGGTGTTCGAGAAAACCTTTTTACGTTGTGACAGCAAAAATACGATCATGTTTCACACTCAGTTTGGTTTTTCTTCTCTGCTGAGACTTCTATATGGATCTTTGCCAAGTTCTTACTAATCAATCGATAACCCAAATCTCCAGGAATTTCAATGCTCTATTTAGTTTTTAAAAGGTTATCATAGAACGCTGTAAAAGCGAAAAGAAGATCACGTTCGCCACCCGAAGTTTTTATCGGACGGGAAAAGTTATATGTGCTCGCAAAATATATGAAATTATTAGAAACTATTAGAGAAAATTATGTAGTCTTAGAATAATACAAAAAACTCAAGGTTTTACTTTTCAGGTGGAGGAAAAAACCCTATTCGACTAACAAAAATCGCGCGCGCCGCGTGGTAGTTGCACTGTGAGATCGATCAATTGCCGTCCCTAATGGGAACAATCGAATAGGAAGACGAGTCGAATGTTTTCCAGTAAAGCACCGCTTGAATGAAGAACCTCATTACTCGGCGATGTCCTCATATATAGAACGGATCGTGTGCCAATTACCCCGTTGATAGTGACTTGTTTTCACCGTTATCAGCTGGTAATGATACCACTGTTTCAGAATGACTGACCGATGGAGACGGGTGTTACGACTAATCAAACGGATATGCCCTTGCAATCTTTGAGCCATGCATGTCAGTGGTCTGTCAAACAGGGCTGACTTATAGAGCCCCGATACTACGTGTTTCGATCATTGCGATCTCGTCAGTCGGGCAGTCACCCATTCTCGACTTTTGCTAATCTCTTTGGGTGCTCCAGTCCCCACACTAAGAGTTATCGACGGACAAACGCTTTACACTCTATGTCCAGTGAAACACTCACCGAACATAGAATGTTGTGCACTCGATTGCTCTTGGCCAAAAACACGTGTATCGGGCTGTATAAGTCAGCCCTGTTTGACAGACCACTGACATGCGTGGCCTCAAAAAATGATTGCAAGGCATATTGAATTTGTGAGCTGTGGTCTTAAGAGAAAACACTCCGAACAACGAAAGTTATCAACGGATAATCAGCATACGAGATCCGTCTATATAAAAGGAACATCGCTGAGTGAGGTCATCATTCGAGCGGAGCTTCAGCGAAGAAGAGACTCTACTCAAACGTCGACGATGACGAATGTCCACAACGAGGACGAACGGACTGTGGACAATCTGTCTTGGATCAGCTCCACGCACCAGGCATCATTAACACGCTCTGCCACCCCACCTTTGTGGTATTGCGTGGGTCATAGAGGTTATTATCAGTCTAGGTGGTTGTGTAAGGTTCATCTACATGCGGTGCGAACGGCTTATGGATTATCTTGTTCCATCCCAAGGCTCTAAATGGCTCATTTTCTTTCTGGACATATTTGAATGATTTTTTGAAAATGATACCTTATCAGAACTATGGTAAAATTCTTATTCAATGATATTGAGTGGTTTGCAAAAACTTTTGCGCTAGTCGGGGCTCGAACTCGCATTTTACCTGTTAGGGTAGAGGACGTGTGCTTCAATCCGTTGCCACTATCGACGCCTGCTTTGTCAGCATTCTCAGATCGAACCGTAAATGGTTGGTTACTGATGGATTGATGTGTTACAGCGTAGATAGAATCCTTATTATCCTCTGTCTTCTGTGCGTATGGATAATGAAAGAGTAAAAACTGTCGGCATCAATCCTCTAAGGTATGCGTCTTGCTTTCTTCCTCCTTCGTAGCATCATTCGAGTTGAGATTGAATGGACACTCGACCTTCACAATGATTGACAGTGGCCTATCGATGTATTTAGTCTGGACTGCTGTTCTCCTAGACAAGCCTAGAGTGCGGGATCGAACCATCGACCATCGAAGATCGATCGCGTATGAGTTGCAGTGTAACTCTAACCACAGCACCACAAGGCCTCTTCTTCAAAATGGTGGAATTTTTCTACACTTATGGGATTTCGGACGGGTTCGTGACTTAAATTTTATCATCACTAGAAAGTAGTAGCTGAATAGCGAAATATGGTTCGATATGGGTAGGTCTAGGCTCTTCGAGAAAGGGAAAGTCTCCGAGACGTGAGCCTTCTTTCACCCGCCACTGACAAAATTCGCTTTGATGCTTGACACCTTTACAATGCGAAGAAAGCAATCATTCACTTCTTACAGCCATTTTTCGTTTCTGTTTCTCAGTCTTTTCTCACTCTTTTTCTTCCCTTCTTTCTCCTGACTTATTTTTTTCCTTACTCGTCTTCAAATAATCGCCTCTTTCCATTGCAGAGTTGTAAAGAGCTGAAGAATCATGGACACCTCAAAAACCACTTCAAGCGCTGATCTCGACTTCACTGAGCTTTTTTCATGCTTTAATGGTGCTCAGAGCTATTTCGAAGTATGTTATCCTCTGTTAAACAACTACTTTTCTAGAAGATCTTTTTTCAGGCGGTTTTCAGTAAATACCAAATTTATTAATCAGAAGTAATTAGAATTGCATGGTTTTGGTGCCGTGCAAATGCGCATTTTCTTGCGAAAATTTCGTTATACAATTTGCTTATAACTTGCTTCAAGAGGGAGCTGTCTTGGGAACAAATTCACTGCTAACTTATGCATGAATGGCGGGTATGGGTCAGGAGAATTAAGCCTTTTTTTATTACGTTTAGGTTTTCATACTCAACGCTTGGCTTGCTGAGCATCGAACGTGGGCACTAAGTGCTCACAGGTACCTTTCCGCTCCATCATAGCAGAACAGGGAGGAACTAACTGGAGGCGACATGTAAGGCTCTAGATCAAAGATATGGTTCTTTAGGGGTTCCTACAGCGAGCAGAGCCCACCTGGCCACTCTTGCTCACAATAAGGAAAAATGGAATTTTCTCTAGTGCCCGCTCGAGTTACTCGATAATAGATGTTATTAAAGCAGCGTGCAAGATTTATGAAGGTTGGAGTGATGGTACGATTGCACAAAGGACGGCTAAGAAGTGGGTCGCAAAGTTTTAAAGCTGGAGGGAACAGTCTGGAGGATCAGTCGCGCTCAGGCCGTCCACAGGAAACTCCATTAATTTTGCACACCGCTTACTAGCAGTTTTCCTCTACGCGTCAATCGGCATGAGTAGCAAGTGAATTTGTTCCCACGGCAGCCCCTTCTGAAGCCAAGTATAGGCAAAGTTGTATATCAAATTATTCACAAGAAAAAGGCCGCAATAGAATGATGCCGAAATCATGCAGTTCTATTTACTTCTGGTCAATAAATATGGTGTTTATTGTTCTAGTGCCAAAAACTCATGGAACTATTCAATGTTTACTATATGCCTAAGAGAGTTGAGTGGTGAACAAAAAACGCGGCCTGAGGCGGGAATCGAACCCGCGTTTCATCCTATCCTGTCAGCCATGAACCTGTCAAAGGTTGGTGGCTGATAGCTAACATTGAGATGTAGAAGAATGAGTGGTCGGGCAAACGTTGCCTCGGGTGGTGTAGTGGTAGTAGCAGCACGCTTCCCCGGACAGGATGAAACGTGGGTTCGATTCCCCTGGAGGCCGCGTTCTTTTTGTTCACCTCTCAGTTCTCTTAGTTATGTAAGTAACTCCCATGAAAAACTCTTGTTCAGTGAAAGGGAACGGTTTTTCATTTGTCGCCGCTTAACATATAAGTATCCACGTGGCATTATAGTTACTCTTTCATATGCCTTTCCACGCTCAGCAGATTAGTCCGACTTAGATTTTAATGGTGTAAAACAGTAAGTTGAAGCATTCAATCAGGTACCTCAAGTCATTATTTAAGTTAATTATCCATTCAGTCACATCCACATCGTCCGATGGCACTCAGTGCATGCGGCAACTGTCAAGAACTACGACTTTGTCGTAGCTTGGAGTGAATGCGAAGCCGGCGTAAAGTCTCAAGACCGGTATTGTTCCACATTTCCCCAACCGTACACGTCCGATGTGAGGTAGTTGTATCGTATCCTCAGCCCAGCTCGTGTCGATGAGGGTGCCATTGCCGCCGACACTCTTTCCATATTCTGGGGAGTATATCATCTCTGGTATCATAGACGGTGTCTTCTCGCCTTAGCCAATCTGGTGACGATTATACCCAGTATTCCTGGATTATAGCTCAGGTCCACAATGTAAGACTCAAGCGTACGTGGGCGTACTAAATAAGTACAGATCGTCCTTAAAGTTAAAGCTAATTTAGAATGGTCCTGGGATTTTAGCAGGTTCACTATACTCGCCCTAACCATGTGGTGCGACTTATGAGAAGGCACCTACCGCACGCATTCAACATACAATTCCACTTAACCTGTCACGGCGTATATTGTTTTGAACGCGTTATATTCAAAGCCATGTCTCGCCGGGCAAAGCTATTTCTTTACGTTTTCAGTACTCATCAGATAGGTTGAGAAACGCCGATTTCAATTCTGTGCTTAGTATCTGAAGAAGCCCTCTTAGTATATTGTAGCAGCGAAGAGAAAATTACATTTCATCTGCAACTACACTGTATGATCGACTCTCGTCTGTTCTTAGTTTTTCGTCTCAGCCAGTAAATATCTGAGGAGTTTTATGGTAAATCTTGACAGCATATTTCAAGCCTCTGATGAGGTCTGTTATGACACTTATATAGTGTAAGACATGTATTTCAGCCTTCCAACCTCATCAGATGCAGGAATGCCTCTCGGTTCAGTCGGTTTCTCGGGGACATATCCCTATTTACAGGAATGATTTTTAGCGGGGTCTCAAAATAGTCAATTGAAAGGCATTGTTGCATATGCTCTGTAATAGCCGTAAGCCGTGCAATCTACAGTCAATCACTCTGAAAGAACGCCATTGTGATTCTTTCATCGTTCGCTCAATGTGAAAAAGTTCGGCGTCGATTCGTCTAAAGAGGAGGTATGTTTACGAGAAGCGGACTAAACCGAAGGGTACCATGCAATTGAAGAGGCTGGAAAGGCCGAAACACGTCTCGCACAATATTATTGTCATAACAGACCTAATAAAAGGCTGAAAATATGCTGTTAGGGTGTAATAGTTTTAGACAGGGTTTCAGAATAGTAGACTGAAAGGTATAGTTCTTAGGTACCTACTAGGTTATTGCTTACCGGGCCAAACGTGTTGAAGTTGGTGGCTGATAGCTATGATATAAAGTCTCGAAGAATGAGCGGTGGGTAAGTGCTGGCCTTGGTGTTGTAGTGGTAGCACGCGCCCCAGTTATGGGTGAAAACGCGGGCTCAACTCTCGTCTGTGGTCGAGATTTTTGCCTACTATTCAGTTCTCTTAGTTATTAGGTAGTTTTAAGGCCTGCGATCTTACACTAGCCTTGTATTCTCGAAAGGCTTCAATGGTGCCGTGTAAGAACGTATAGAAGCGTACGTTTTGTCTCTGGAGTAGTAAGCTCGCTGTCCGAACTTCGTGACGACTGTGTTGGTGATCATTGTAATAAACTTTAGTTTTTTTTTGGTGCCATATCCTGAGAAGAACGTGAAATGTAATCGTGATCTTCAAATTTTTACTGCTCTTAAGCAGTGTCATGATGGTACAAATGCACATCCAGGCGTATTAAAGTAGTAAGCAAATTATTGGACCTCCTGTATGTGTGAAACGCGGGTTGAACTCCATCTTAAGGTCGAATGTTTTTCATAACATTTGAAACATGGAAATATCAGCGAGGACATTTCTACAAAGTTATTTCCAGTCGAAAAGGAACACTCATGCTTCTAACAAGCCACAAATATATGATCACTGTATGATTCGTATTAGGACGAGCCCTTTTTCTTCACACGGAGGCGTTTCATATCACAGAAAGTGGGAGAGTATATAGAAAGCATGAGGATCGAGGTAGTATGAGAAGCATAAGACTTTCTATTGATACGGAGAAGGAATGCGCCATGCATTTGTCTTCATTTGTCATTGTCTGAGGTTACTGAATGCATATCTGGCTTTACAATAATGACTCGCGGTTCCTTAGCGATATTCAAGTCAGAGCCGCTTACTACTAGAGAAGTCTGGCGCTAACTCACCGACCACGGAGCGATGGAAGACTTGGTAAGCTTGGGTCAGGATCGAACCTCGACCATGACTGATCGATCATTGTGTCGCAGAGCACCTCAGCTATTGCGCTGTGCGCACCTGAGCCCATAGCACTCAGAATACTCTCAGAGTATAGCCTCTTAGAATGTTTAAAGCCTTTATCGAGGTTGTTAGGTCAGGACAATACACGTGTTTTCGGAGGTCTCGCTCTCTTCATCAGTGACTCACGCCCACACTGAGCCCACTATGTAGCAGGGAGAGGAGGCGTGCGTGGTGATGGCACAACGTACAATGGCATTGTTTTTTCACAACTTTTTCGTCGATAGATCGCGGCTGCTAGATTTAAATTAGTCCACCTCATCTACTGTTTTTTACCTCGCTATGAACACTCCATATAGTCTGTAAGACTGTTCAAACCGAGATCAAAAAACCGTCGATGAGGTGAATCAATTACTCTCTCAATGTTTTTTCTTTCTTCTCACAGTTCATCTTTTCAGAGCTCCAAAAAAAGAATACGTAAAACAATTGGAGCAGCTTGACAACATGGAATTGGAGTGGTTGCATACATTGGAAACTGTTGCAAACAATGTGTTGACAGGTGGCTTTTCAATAATCATAGGTTGGAAAAATTCTCTGTCAACCCTTTTGAGACGGCGTGTATGAAGAAGATACACTGTTTTCTGGAGACCTTTCGCGTTGGAGAAAAACTTATCACTTAGACTTCTGTTACTGTTTGAAAGCATAAAATCGGCGATATTAATAATGTGTTTGATTTCTAAAAAGCCTATCTCATTGTGTTGTATCAGCAAAAATAATATCATGCTTCTTACTTGGTTTGCTTGTTTGTTCGGTCGGAATCTGTGGATGGTTTTTCGCGTTTTGGTGTTCATTCTGTAACTCAAGTCTTGAAGATTTTGAGACTGTTATTTTCAAAATGTTTTTAGAGAACGTTGTGAGAGCGAAAAGTGAACTGTGTTTTGTACTCGGAATTCTTTTTGTATGTAGCAGTTATATTTGCATTGAGGCGTATGAACAGGTATAAGAAATCATGGAGTATTAGAATAACGCGAAGTGATTAAATTTTTCACTCTCAAAATAGAGAATAAACTGAGGAAAATCGCACGCCACTAGCGAATCGAGCTGTGCGACCGAACTATCGTCCCAAGACTCATTCGATGTTCTTTCTCTCACAGGACGTTTCGAACTGTAGTACGCCGTGTTTTTGCAAGAGCAGGATAGCTTCTTTTGTCGATGGCTGGCGTAGCAAAAATGCTCATAATCAAGTGAACTTAGTGATAAGCAAAAGACAGTTGAAAGGCAATTGACTTGCAATGACTCACAGTGTGGTGAATGTTGAGATGGCTCGTTGCCCTAGTGCCTATGTTGCGAAATCCCATCCACATACTGGCAACGCGTGGTGGCCTGGTGCCATTATTGCTATGCACGACACCTATTTCCTTTTGACTGCTACACTCACTAAGAAGTCTTTTTGGAAACCAAATTTATCACTGGAATCGGTAGAATTCAGACTATCGAATGGTTATTACAAAATTGTGGTCTTCTTTTCGCTCTTACAGCGTAATATGATAACTTTACAAAAGACCAATTAGGTCTTCAAAGTTCTTCAGATTTAGGCTATATAATGAATAATTAGGCTTTGTTTAAGAGCCATATCGAAGTTCAACCGAGCAAATGAGAAAATGTGTGTAAATGTAATTTTATTTTCACTGCTTGGCGTAAGAAAAGTTCTCTAGAACAGAACAGATCATTTAAGTCGCAGAGATTTAAGCTTCGGAATGGTTACCAATTGTCTAGGAGAAAACTTTTATGCAGGGAGAAAAGCCTTCAACAATCGTGTACCTCAGCTAGTACACGTCGTTTTTAGGGTTAAGAAATAAAGTTCACTATTGAAGATCGATGATCTATATTAGGGTTCGATTCTTTTATATAGCAGCGTGTACCCAAGGAATAGCTGAATCCAGAGAGACTGTGCTAATGACGAGTATAAGTGCTCATATCAAACCTCATAACACTAAGTTGAAAAATGTGGGACGAGCGTCACAACCACTCAGCCGCGCCACCCCGCACACCTTTCTACACGCGTATAATTCGCTAGAAGCACAAAGAGCTTGTCAGCATGTAGAGAAATTTCTGTAGATATCAGAATCATGCGTTTTTCTGAAGTTTCTATCGATGCAGTAAAAAAAGATCCCAATTGAATAACATTATTTTGAACGCGATTGATCGCCCCGCCTCTTCTCCCATTCTCATGGACTGGATGATAAACAAGCTCGCCGAACATGCAAGACTCCATCGATTTCTCCTACTAAACGGCATATCCAGGAAATAAACCTCCCCTGTATCACCAGTATCACCTGTCGTCCCGTTGATCGTCGAGTGACTCGAGCGGGTACCAGCAACTCTTCCATTTTTCCCTATCGCGTGCAAGAGTAGCCCAGTGGGTCCTCCTCGCTCTAGGAATTCGCTGAGCATCATATCTTTCTTCCATCGCTTTCGT